CACGCCCGATTTCTTTCTCCACCTCTCCTCGTTGTCGCCAACCCGTACTCCAGCGCACCCCGGCAAGTGATGCGGCCGCGCCCGCAACATACCACCGAATGAACTCCGACAGTACTAACCCAAACAAAAAAAACGGGGAGGCCGCCCCCCTCGCTTTATACTCCTCATCCTTGTGCGGGGGGGTCATGCTTATCTTCGCTGCATCGTTCCAATTTTAACGGATGTCCTAGGACTTTTTCTAGGAGTCGGCGCCTCGCGGCGCTTCCAAATGCCGCTCCGCCCCCTACCTTTTCTTAACCTTTTCGCATCTGCATCCGCCCTTTTCTCTCGCCCGGGTTCACTCCCGAACTTACGAGAGGTATGCAACGGCCGAACTGGCCACTCCACACCTCTGCGCTTGGTCGCACGGCCCTGCGGCACCCTGTCGGGGCGACGGTAACCCCTGCCCTCGGCACTACCCAAGTGGGCACCCCTTGGCCGTCGCTCCATACCCCAGTCCCGCCATCCGAGTTCAGACGTGGGTCTGTATTTCCATAGTGCGTGGGTGCACCACCGAGGTAGGCCCTTGGATCCCACTTCACGTCCACTATGCCGCGTCCTAAGCCAAACGGGCGCGGTCAGGGTAGCCCCTGCACAGCCACGAATCACAGCCGGCAATTGCACTGCAGGCAATCCCGTGACTACAACATACCCCCTGCGCGATTTCGCGCCCACCTACAGGTGTGAGATGAATAATAATAGTATTAAAAACTTCGAAATAAATAATATATTTACATATATATATATGGACATTTAAGAACCGCAATGCACGCGGTAATCAGGCGAAAGTTGCGGCCCCCGTGGTAGCAAAATGTGAGGGGGATAGTCCTACCGGCCCATCAACCCCTCAAGCCTTTTCGCCGCGCTCCTCCGCTCCCTTATTGCACGCCGTTGGCCTCGATCCCTGCGTCTGCTGCGTACCAGTCCAGTGCTGTAACCTATAGGGCTAAGCCCAAGCCTGGTACTAGCAGGCCTGACTCGCCTTATAGAGAGGTAGCGCACGGCCCTTGGGGCCAAGGAAACGCCATATACCACTTCTCGGCCCACACTTGCACAAGGGACCACCCAAACTCACGTCGGCCTACCGGCCTTGCCGCGGCTACCCGTCCTTAGCCAAATCCATCAGGTCCCATCATCTGGATTTCCGCGTAAGTCCATACAGGTTCATTGAACCATTCCCCGTACCCCGCGGAACCAGAAAACAACGCACTCATGGTTAGTCAGTCTAATCAAAACAAACGACTGTTATAATGAAGCACGTCGACCAGAGTTCACGCCACGTTTGCTATTGCGATGAAAAGAGGGGAAAAAAATCACGCGCGCCTCAAGCCTGCGCGCCCACACACTCTCCAACTGGGCCACCTGTTTCATCGACGTAGCCCTCAGACACCGCCGCGTCTTGCGCCGCATACTCGAACCTTTAGACTTAGCGTATTTCCTATCACTTGCAAACCAGGGCGGATACCCTTGTAAGGGTATTCGCGCCGACACCATTTTCTCTTTTTTGGAGGCAAGGGGTGTTGTTTGTACCGCTCAGGCGACGTGGCGCAGCCACCTATCCTGGGCCCGAGGCAGGGAAGCGCGGCCCATAGTTTGTAGTAGCTGTTAGTACATAGTGTGTGGGTGCATGTGGGGTATTCAGAGTGATCCTCATAAGTGTAGGAAGTGAGTGTGTGTGTGTGTGTGTGTGTGTGTGTGTGTGTGTGTGTGTGTGTGTGTGTGTGTGTGTGTGTGTGTGTGTGTGTGTGTGTTTGACAAAGAAGACTTTCTGGTGGATACAGTTCATCGGGAGGGAACTTGGTTGGGCGCAGAGCGCCATGTCCATTTTCGAGCAATCTCAATCCGAACTGTGTTGCTGGCTCGTTCATATATCCGAGTTTTGTGTGGGCGTTTGGTTGCAGCAATCGAGAATCGTCATCTGTTTGTTGCATGCATGTCCAGAATGGAAGTCTGATTGCAATTCTGCCATTGTCAGTCAATAGAATAACAGTTCAACGAAGTCACAAGGCCATGTACTCCCGCGTGCGTCCACTCTTCTATGCAAATCCTACATTCAGAGGATGAATGCCGCTCCCACTAGCCTTAATTCTTCTTATTTTCCCTTGTCTCAATTCTTCAATCTGGATGGCACTGTCATCATACTCGACTTTCGACACTTGCTACAAACAGATGATGATACAAACTTTGCGCATCGAGCGCACACACAAAACCCAGAGATATGGACGAGCTGACAATACAGTCTGGAACAGATAGCTTGAAAATGGCTATGGCCGTGTTTGTTTTCATCCTCGTCAAAAGACTCAAACCCCCTCCAACGACATGACCACATGGAACTGCATCTGCCACAACGTACTTCACCCTGACTTTTGTAGACCACTTAGAAGCCAACCAGCAAATCGTATATGACCGTCCATAAAGTGCACATGTACAGGCCAACACTCAAGATCTACGTACATGCGGGTGGACCAGACGACAGACACATGCTGGTGGACCAGAAGCCGATCATAAACTGAATGTGTGGAAAGAAATACACAAAGAAGCACATGGACGAATAAATACACGCGTAGTGAGCTCAACACTAGAGATGCAGAGATGTGAATGGGACAAGCAGATGATCCTCGGCATGCCATCACTGCCCCGACAAGTGACCCGCGTGCGGGCCTGCCGGAGGAAACGCCTGAAAGCAGAGCGAACACCCATGGCTTTCGCTGCGATGGAGTGAGTGACCTTCCTTCCTCCTATGTGGTTCGTTCGCACATTCGATGTCTTCATCATCTCTCTGCTGTCATTATATCTGTGGTGTTCGCACATCCAGACACACACACCATGGATTGAAGTCAGCACATGGTTCACAATGTCGTCCACCAGGGCATCCAATCACCCAAACCCTGATGGTCAGTGGCATGAGGACACATTCAATTACAGTGACTTCATTGCAAACCACACGCCCTAGAATCGAACGCATGCCTCATTTACAGCCCCTATTGCAAGGGTCCTGACTGACCACAACTTGCGAGAGTGTATCACATTGCATGCCTCGTCATCATTCACATAGATCATGATTCATGAGCCACCACACTTGACGAAGATGAGATGAGATGAGAACTGAGTCGCGCAGCTTATATTATCAATCATCACAATTACAAAGACTGTCTCGAGTTCCTGGTCCAAGCGCTCATCAATACAATGTTCCTCTTCCGTCCAACATCAATAGTTGGGGCCTGGTCAAGCCAGCGCCACCTCAGCAACTCAAGCGCAGAACAGGTAAGCATTAACCATACCCAACTCTTCTCCCCAAGCACTCTGTCTCGGTCCCTCTGTCTCTCCAAGCATGCACAATCCTGCTACGAGAATCGGCTTTGAATGCTACTCACTGGAGTCTACTTACTAACCCTCTAATCCTACTAACTAGCTGGGCAGCTATGGCTGCCACTTGCATGCCGGCGCCCAACACTCTCTCTCACTCTCAGCGCATCTTCCTCCTCTAACGTTCTTCCAGCAGGCTAGCGCACAAGTGCACGCAGCACTTCCACGCATTATTGCCAGTGAAGATCTGTTGACAAGGGAGGCTGGCATCCTCCTTTATACTGCTGGCCTCCCCTAGCGAGGTCTGCATTGCCACATGGCCTCCGTCTGTCCCAGACCCTTGCATGTTGTGTGTCCCAGTACTTCCCATTGAGGTATGCTGCTGCTGTGTGTCCCGGTACTTCCCATTAAGGTATGATTACATTSGTAAGCCGTAGTGGGTGACGAAGCAATCATGATGCATTGATTGAATGCTTGTTTGAGTGATCTGTTATTACCCGGACCAAATTCGAAGTACACATTCATCAAACAGCACAATGCCGTCCAATTGCAAAAGGATACCCCGAAATGAATGAACTTGAGAGAGGAGAGAGGGTAAGAAGGAGAAGAAGAAGTAAGAAAGAAAGAAGAAGATGATGTACAACAGCATTAACAAATGACAAGCTCTTCTTCTTCGCCAAACTCTCTCCTCCTCCTTATCTCCCCGTCCTTAATTAAAACAAGAAATAGTAATAACAATGTTGAAAGGCTGATCCAGAATCAATGTCGGAGTTCCTCTTCTACTACTGGATCACACGACGTCCTCCATAGCCATGGCCGCCTCTCCTTCCTCTTCACTCGCATAGGCCGAGACTACGGCGGAATACTATGCCCCACCGTGATGTCCAAAGGACAACACAAAGCAGCTACGGCTGCGTGGCTCAACCGTGATGTCCAAAGGACAACTCAAAGCAGCTATGGCTGCCTCAGCTCATGCCGCCATGCCCACTCTGCCTSGAAGCTCCTTGCTGTAGCTCTCCCCCTCCGAGGGGAACCTCCAACTGCAGCGCCTACCAAGGTGATGAAGATGGCTGCCACGGTAGGCAGGTAAGTACCCCTGGGGCTCCTCCCCTTCTTCGTCCTTCTTCCTCCTTCTTCCTTCCTGTTTTTCCGCTATCCCCAGGGCCACGGGGCCGCTACCTTCGCCACTTCAGAGTTTCCCTGACTGCAACCCTCAATGGCACGGCCACAGGTAAGTACCGGCCCCACGGGCCTGCCAAACAAGCAAGTACCCTACCGGGTCACACACACACTCAATCAGACAAGCACTCAGACAGGCACGCAGTCCACTGGCACGCACGCACACAGACTTAGCAAACCCAGCAACAAGCGGAATACCCAGTGAGGCATTCATTCCACGAGCAAAACTCAGAAATGAGCTGTGTGACCCAGTCCGTGTTTTGATGGGTCATCACCGATCAATTCACTGATTGATTGATGTTCTGATTAATTTAATTGTTTGATTTATTGATTAATTTCATTGACTGATTGATTTATTGATCATTTCATTGAGTGGTTGCCTATCTTATGATACAATCCACATTGCCAGACGGTCGACATTACCTTCGACCAGGGCATCCAGTCGTCCAGACCCGGATGGTCCCTAGCATGGCCACACAATCAAACACAGTTTATTAGTCATTGSGAAGCACTTGACAGAAAATCAAACTCTAACGGGTCACGTCATAATTCTAAGCACTTATGGGAACCAAGGACTTATATCATTGCGGACCCAGTCCGTGTTTTGACGGGTCATCACCGATCTATGTGACACACTCACATAGACACAGACACAGACACAAACACTGACACAAACACACACACACACACACACACACACACACACACACACACACACACACACACACACACACACACACAATGTGACAGATAGATTCACCTGCCACGAACGCCCGTTGTTCAATATGTCACCATAATTCTCGACGTCTCATCAACACAATTTTCAACGCCTTGCTCGTGCGCCTTTGCCCAAGTTGTGTAGAAGGTTCCTCGCACCCTCGTATCGACTACTGGGTCTTCTGTGACGCYGCGGTCGCSGTTCAGCAGATGCTTGTGCCTCACATGCCGCCTCTTTCCGCTCTTTGCCCCTGCTCCATTCCTGACCATTCAACTCCTTCTCCGTTTCTGACAGCTCCTCGTCTTCATTATCGTCGTTGTCCTCGTCCTCCGCACAGAGGTCCACCACTTCCGCCTCACCGACCTTGTCTTCCCCTTTTTCATCACAGTCCGCCTTACTTCCTGCTCGGGTATCCTCTGCCCCCGTGTTAACGTTGTCCGTGCTCTCTTCATTCCGCTCCGCATCCCCTGCCTTATTCTCTTCATCCACTCCTTCGTCGTCCTCTCCTTTCTCCTCCTTTTCATGGTCATCCTCCTCGTCTTCCTCCGCTCCTCTCCCGTCCTTGTTGCCCCCCTCCTCTTGTTCCTCCGCCTTATCCTCGTCTTCATTGTCCTCATCATCTTCCGCGTCGTCCATGTCCTYGTCTTCACCGTCCTCGTCCTCTCGTTCCTCGTCATCATTCTCCCTCTCCRTGTTGTCCTTATCCTCCCCTTCCTCGTCGTTGACCCCATCTCCCATCACTCCCTCCTCGCCTCCATCATTCTCCTTGTCCCGCCGTCGACCGTGTCTCCCATCCCCATTGTCAACCTCTGTGTCGGTGTCGCTTTCCTCCCCAGCCATTTTGTCGTCCTCGAATAATCCGTCATGCTCGTGCACTGCCGGGTCGAGGTCGATGTCGTCGATAACATCACCAACATAAATGCCGAGATTATCGTGCTCGTCCCCGAACCGCTCGTGACCACGAAGCCGGGTTGCGCCGACACGAGCAGGGGTGACATCTCCTGCAACTACCACGTTGCAAGGGCGCACTCCACCGGCCGGCCTCGGGGTTCTGCACCTGCGCGCATTGTGGCCTGCGAGACCGCAAAGGGTGCACTTTTGCTTCTTTGCCCGCGGTTGGTGCAGTCTTCCTCCCTCCAAACAACTTTAGATCCGACTGCCGTTTGGCGGGCGTCCCTTTTGCCGCCTGGTTGCGGGAGGAAGAACAACGGGCTCGGTTTCCAGATTGCGTTCTGCAGACGCAAAACATGTAGGATACACAACACCGTCGTATGTAGCTCGCAGCGCTCGCGTTGTATATAATTCAGCGACGTACATTCCGATGTCCTCTTTCCGTGCGACGATAGCAGCTGCAGCATGAGCGCATGGACGTACTGTGTCCTCCCAGAAGCCGCAAGTGCATATCACCTTTGGTCGTTGCAACTCCACCCGCCAAGACTGTCGTCGGCCATGCGAATTCGTCATGTAGACCTCGTACACATTTCGGGCGGCTTTTTGAAGGGAATATTTCCTTGACAACTGCAAAGTCACTTCGAGGAAGTCTTCGACAACCTCAGGATGTTTCCCTGCCTGTGCGGCCGCCGCGTCTCTTCTCTTAGTGTGCCACTTCTGCAACCAACCCTGATACTCCTCGATTAGCGGTATCGGTGGCATCCCCCGAGCCTTTAAGAACTTGCTGTTCATCGACTCGGCCACTTGCGATGTCACCTTGCCATACCGTGGAGATTGAAAATGAGGCCCTCCCCAATGCCTCTTGTCAGCTTTCTCGAAGATCTTTTGCAGTATGTTTTTGTCTTTTGAGAAATCAGCAAGCCGCTGCATGTAATAGTTGAACAYCGGCTCGCTCGTGCTTCGTGCAGCTTCGAGGAGCATGTCCGCCTGGTCATTGTTGATCCTTAAACTCTTCAAAAGGTTACCGGTGACATGACGGACACAATACGCATGTCGGTGATCCCCGAACTCTTCGYTCACCGCGGGAACGRGTCCTTTGTCGCGATCGGACATAATCGTGATGGACTCATGAGGCACTTCGGCAATGGTACAGACGCGATTTAGAAGAACCAAAAACCACTTCCAATTGTTCTTGCTCTCGGYGTCGACAATTGCATAAGCAAYGGGGAAACACTGACCATTCGCGTCTCGTCCAGTGGCGCCGAGAAGGCAACACTCATACTTCCCTCGGATATGAGCCCCGTCCAACACGAGCAATGGCCTGCAATCTCCGAACCCAGTCACTGAAGCAGCGAACGCAAAGAAAACCCGGACAAAGACGTCGCCATTGCACTCGARGTCGATAACGGACCCGGGGTTAGTCTCCTGCACGACCCTGCAGTATGCACGCAAATCGGTGTACCCGGCCTAAGGAGCACCTCGCAATGCCTCGACCGCTCTCGTCCTCGCTCGAAGGCACTTGCTGTAGCTGACAGGGGTGTTGATCGTTTCTGCGAACCATTTGTGCAAATCAGTTGCTGTTGTCTCAATCTTCTCTCGCATTTTCTACTCCACCATCAGCTCCACCCACTTCACCTTCGCGTGTTTGTTGCCTGTTGTCTCCCGGACTGGCGGTCTGCAACCACGGTGATGTGGGRTGAGGCGAACAATTTTAGCAGGGCCGTTTGCATGTGCTGCCCTACCCTCCAACTCCCACGGGCAGTCTGGACTGGCGCAGATGGCGTGAAACTGGGTGGCGTTTGATCTCTTTCGCTGGTATTCAAAGCCCCTCGCCACTGCGACAAACTGCACTACATCTCGCAAGGCGTGCATGGAGACATAACGACCTCCCACCTGCAATGGCCGCACGTCACCGGTGATTGCAAATTGTGTGAGAGGTGTAGTCCGCATTTCCAGATCCGGGCTGACGACCTCATCGTCAGACGAGAAGGCCTCTCGATCYGAGGAGTCGTAAGCCGCAACCTTGTTTGTACGTTTCCTCTTCCGGATCGACCTCTCCCGCGCTGCACTCGATTCGGATCGGCCGCTTTCCGTATGATGCACAGGTTGCGAGGAAGCACCTCCCAAAGTCGTTGAGTCTCTGAAATTCAAAAATCTTTGCAAGCACCCAATCTCTCCATTTACGTCATCATCCACGTCAGGCAAGGCTTCAGCATCATCGAACTGGTCAGCGACTGCAGATGTAGCGCCCAATATACTCCCATTAAAACCTGAATCGCGGGCATGTTGCTGCTGGAACGCGTCGATACGCCCACCGACTTGTCTGGCAGACACGGGATCAGATGACAGCCTTGACGCAGCCCGCGATGTGTGACATTGACGCAGTGGCGTGGCCTCCGCTTCCCCCGTGCCATTAATACTGGTGGATGGGGCGTCCACTTCAATTTGCCCTTCCGTGTCATGCGCCTGCATTCCACCGCAGACCCCGCTGACAGGAGTGGTCTGGGATGCTGTTGCACGACAACGGCCACGCCCTGCAACCACATTAGTGCACGGTCTGTTATGTGCCGCAGTGAGTGGCGGACCACATGAAGGCACGATTGTGGTAGATGGAGTGGCATTACACTCAAGAAGACTGTGGTGAATTGACGTGGCAGGAAATGGGGGACATGGACGAATTGGATCAGTTTGATGCATGGCATTGTTTGACGGTTGAACATCATGTCACATTGTGAAAGGCGTTGGTGGTGTGGTGTACCCAGAGGGTGCAAAGGACGGGTCATGGCCATGGACAAAATGGTGCATGGAATGTGGACTCCCATACGAATGCGATGAGACAGGGTACATGAACGTAGGGAAGTGCAACGGGACGGTGTGGCCTGGACTATAGGGAGCGGTGGGCGGGTGAGGAGTAGTCATATGGAATGGAGTGCCATAGTGGGGATAAGTATGTACCCACGGATTGTGGGCAGCTGGTGGTCGTGGCGGAGGCAAAGGAGTGTGAATCGCAGAAACAGAGGATGGCGCAGCGGGAACATGTTGTGTGTGAAGCATATGGTTTGTTGTGGTCAAACCGGGATGAGGTATGAACCCTGAGAAATCATCACCATGCGCGGACGTTGCCGTGGTGTCCTCCATAAATGTACGCCGATTTTCACGGCCCTGATCATCTGCAGCAACCATTTCACAAGCTGCGCAAGACACAGCGTGAACACCGCCTTTGACAACAAAGTACGACACACGAACAAACATCAGGAAATGCAAGTGCATTGAAAGCGGAGGAAATAAGGACACGACATTCGAATTTGAACAGGCTTTTTGACAACAACGCGTTGGGGAGGTTATCAATTCAATTTCAACCCTATGTGGTTGCATAGGTCCCTGAACTGCAAACGTTTAAACCACAAGCACACCACCCAGGCAAACAAAAACATCGATAATGGCTCTTTCCGAAAACTGCGGAGGCTGGGGGCTGCGATGGACGCCACAAAAAAAAAAAAAAA